AAAATGTAAATATACAGATGTTTAAATTAATATTTTTTCTGTATATTTCTCATAAACCTATTGTTGGAATACTGTTTTTGATATAAAGCTACAAAAGCAGGAAATGCAATCAAAATGAAGAATTCAAAACTATAAGCTCTTTTCATTTATGTTTGCAATAGACTTTTTATCTCCAAGTATTATTTGTTATATGAGAACAAAAGGAATCACTATGTGTGTGTATGTTTTTAAACTGAAAAATAACCATTTTTATCTTTCCCCGTGTATGTGGTCTGGGTTTGATTCTGACTCACTAGGGGATGCCTTGAACTTTTCACACTCTTTTCCAAGCCCTAATGCTAAGAAAAAAGCACTATCCCACTTGACACAAAAGTAGACCTTGGCTGGTGGATCAGAGAACATCACACACGCCTGTGCCATGTGGGCTAAAGGCTCAGCTGCCACATCTGGATCAGCCTGTGCGATTTTTATGTTTATGAGAGACTCACCTTGCTCTCCAAATTCAGCCTGTAGCACTATACACCTCATGCCATCCTATCTTCATCTATGTTTGACAAAATGTGTAGGTAACATTTTATTTTATTTTTTTAAGGGCAGGCATCTACAACGAGTCCTTTGGGTCAGTGATAACTTGTGTTGATTACCAAAGTGCATCAATTTCCACTGGATCTTTTTAAATAAGCTATAATTCTCGAATGGTGTGATTGGAAGAAAGGGCCTCTGATCCTGTATCAAACAAACTGGAGGAAAACAGTATGGGAACACAGTGCTTTCTGACTTTTGAAAGAAAGGAAACTTTGCAGCATGTAATTCTAAGGAAATTGTAGGACACACAAAAAAGTAGAATCAAGCTCTTCACGGGGGAGGAAGTGAAGTCTGCTTGTATGGCTTCTGAAGTGTCTGACTTTGTCATAAAAAACTGCAGCTGAAGTATTCATTTAGAACGATTCCATGCATTGTGTGACGGATAAAGTAGTACAACCTTTTCCTTCTCTTAGCTAGTGGTCCTGTATTAATTCAGGAGCTATATAAAGCAAGTTTCAAAATGACATCCTTTTCTAACTGGAAAGTGAGCACACCTTATATATGGAATATAAACATTTCAGCAGGTACTATTACCCATCTGCCTGATGTTAACTTTTTATTTAACTACAAAGGATCTTAACATTTCTCTGTGTTAACTTTTAGTGGGTGAGATACTGTCCTGTCAGTAACAGATGTAAACACTAAGTAAATAAAGAGCTCAGGTTGAGATGCCTGTGGCTGTCACTGTGTAAGTAAATTTACAAATCTGATTATGAAGAATGTTAGCTGTTACTCTGCAGAGCCATCAGATATTAGCCCGGGGTATATTTCTCATCACTCTATGCGCATTTCACCAGATAGGTGTGCATAGACATAGGCATGATGCAGCATTTTAAAATGCATTCTTTTATTTTTAAACCTACGCCCAACATCTTGACAAGCCCTATTTAGTATGATGTTTAAACACACGTAACCCAAGGCTAATTTCTACCTTGTGAAGTCAGGTGGTTTAAAATGTGCTACAAAGATCCACAGGAGGAATAGGATGTACAGCCCCATTTTGTTGTCTCTGAACTTTGGAAGTCTATTCAGCCCCCTTGCATCATGTGCAAATCAATGCAAGGGGAGGATGCAAAAATGAAACCAGTCATGGCTCCTGCCAGATCTGACATTCATTCCTTAATGATGTGCTGGTTTGGCTCGTTTTCCTCCTCTTCAAATGTTCTTTTTCCCCTCCTCCAGAGGTACAGTGACACGGTGTTCACCCTGTCCACACACTCTCTCATTCTGGGAGTTCACACGGAGGACACTGAACACCAGCCTGGCCACTGTCCCGCTCCCCCCACCGCCAACGCCACCTTCCCTGTGCTGTCCTGCTTCCCCGCCCTGCTTTACAAGGGGGTCTGGGGTTCTGGCCTGATGGTTCAGGTGCTCCTAGTCTTGGCCCTTCAGGGGCTTACTTAACCTGCTTTTATCACTTTGCCGTCTGATAGGCAAAGCTGCTAGAAATAACTATGTGGTTGCATTTACTGTTCATTTCTCTATTTTCCTGATTATAGGAATTATTTTTAAAGATAAGGAAATCTTAGAGCCAGGCAGAGCTTTTGGGGTCATTCAGTACCACAGACCAAAAAAAAAAAAGACCTTCCCTTATAATAAGCAAACAGAAAAAAATAAATTCCAGTTGCTGGTGAAAGACTGTCAGCATAATTCTCCTCATCCAGGAATCAGTCTATTTAGTGGGTTTAAATTTAAAGAATTTAAAAAATTCTCTTGCCTATGTGAGTAGATAATAGAAAAATATCTTTTATTATATACAGTATATTTTGGTGTAGTATGTGTAATTGCCCTAACTGAATATCACGTATATTCTGACAACATTAAAGGATTTAAGAATCTAAAATCCAAAAGTCCTAAATTCCAAGGAAAAAAAAAGTGCTGCACCTGTTTACAGTTACCAAACTTGTACCACCATCTTTCAGAGCGTTTTGATGTAAAAAGTTCTATGGCTTTCTTCAGATTTATAGTTTTAAATGGGCTTGTTATAGCTGAGTTCTCTGTTTTCTTCTTTGTAAAGTAAGCAGGCAGATGTTTTTGCCCTTTTTAAAAAAAAGTTCAGTAAGCACGTCTCCTGCCCTTACTTCATCGGCTACAAGAACATTCGTGGCCCTTCCAGTGGGAAGGTGGTTCACCTGAAGCTTTGTTCCCGATTTAGTAACGCGGCAGCATCTCACTTAGCAAGTGGGGCTTCCTACCAATGAAGTTGAAAACAAGTCTCTCTCTCTTATTCAGAGACAAACTTAGATTTTTACCTGTCAGAGGAAAAATGAAACCATCACTAACCGCTGTTTATTTTGCTGGCAGGTTCATGCCTACGACAAAGTAATTTTTCCCCAGGTGAATTACTCCCTCAACGTTGGCGATGCAATGACTAATAAAGTATTTATGAAAACTCCGTTAAGTGTGCGGTCCCCATTGCCACAGTGTGTCACTGCTGCCGCCAAGCGACAGGTCTGAAAAACCAGCAAATCTTAAACAATTAGAGCATCGATTCCTCTTTCCAAAACCAAGGCCTCTGCTACCTCCTAGACAAAGATGCTGTCTTCTTAAGTGATGGGTATTAACGAGAGACGCTCTCCTCAATCACACTTGACCCACGTGGGCGTTGCACCGATTTCATGGCTCCTGAGAAAAGAAAGGCAAGGGTGATCAAGAAAATAATTTCTTTGCCTGAATGAGTATCTCTGATTTTCGGGTTGAGGTTGTTTTTAGTTTAGTTTGGTTAGTTTCCCACAGTCTCACAGCGAAATTACAGTATGCTACAGGAAGAGAAATTGTCTTAAGAATCTATCCGCCGCTCCGAAAACTTGTAACTCTCGGAACACGCAAGTGCTTGGGGACGTAATTCAAAGACTGTTCTCTTGAGCAACCTCATTCTTGAACTGGGCTAAGAGCTTTTCAATTGCTGTGACATTTTCAGCCAGGGAAGTAGTAGTTGTTGCAGAGCAATGTTTTACAGGCAATTACTTTATATGATCAATGGAGCAATTCCCTTCCAGAAAGGAACCAAAGCGATCAAGTTAAATCATTAAAGAGAGAGAAAGAGAGAGCGGGAGAAAGGATTCATCTCATTAGCCGGCGCCGGTGCTGCCGGCTCCGCGGCGGCGCACAATGTCACTGGCCCTTTAAGACAATGGCCGTACTCCCTCCACCGCCGCCACCCCCTCCCCTGTCGCTGTTGACAGGTCTGAACCTCCCTAGCAGCCCATTGTGGCCGCAGTAGGAGGCACCTGCAGAAAATGTGCCAAAACCAGGCAGGGAGCAAGGGCTTTTCAATAAGCTCCGCAGCTGGAGAGGAGAGGCAACACTAAACAACCGGGCGCGGAGCCGGCACGTGATGGGAAAAGGGGTCACAACCAGACACCTCCTATCGGCTTTCTGAGCGCCGGTCGGTTCAATTTGCTGACATCTTCTAGCTGGCTTTTCTCTATTTGCTTAATATGCTGAGGTATTTAGCTTAAAAGCACTAAATGCTCCATCACGATGAGCTGCTCTCTCCCTTTCCCATTTACTGTTATTAAGGACATTTTCCCGTATTTTCTCTCTCTTTCTGCCCCAAACTAAGATTGTTTTCTTTTGCTTTTCTCTCATGAATACTTACAGGCGTTCTCCAACTCATGCTGCCCGCTTGATTTTACTCGTCATTAATTCAGGGACAAGTAAAGCTCTCCACATTCGGAATCTGTATTAAGCAGGCACATTCTGGCCGCACAGGTCTGGAAGCAGCTTTGCATTTCAACTCAGTAAACATTTATTGTGCATCTACTGTGTATCCACCACTGTCCTTAGGGCTCCCAGAAACCCAGAGATAGACAAGATGTGCTTCCCCTCTTGTACTGTTTAGGATCCAGCAGAGAGGCTAAATTGCTGACGTAACTGACTTTGTTTTGTACCCATGCACTTTTCTACGTAGTACTTACAACCCTGTTGAGAATAAGCAGGAATGGAGGGAACTGGGATGTGCTGGTGGTGCTGTGGTTTTGTCGAGCGTGCCTTGGGAGTCAACAGGGCAGATGTGCAATTTCAAATCTCCAAAATAAATGACAGATGAGTGCCTGGCAGAGCACCTCGATTTTGGCAGCTCTTATGGGTCCCAACTCCTTGCCTTTACACATCACTTGCCAGTTTTCATTGTATTTCCATCCATTTTTTTTTCTCACTGGAAGTATAAGGCACTATCTCTGTCTTATAGATGAAAACATCTGAGACTCAGGGCCCCACAAGGAATAGGTGGTAAGTCAGAGGCCCTCCAGGACCCAGCCCCTCTCCCGCCCACCCAAACCCTGCCTTCCATTCTACCCAGTGCTGCCTCTTCAGAGGGTTTACCGGTGTGAGCACACGTTTTGAGAGCAGTGTGGAAGCACCTTGACAAAATGACATTTTCACAGTGAAACTCCTTTTTCCCCCTCCTACAGATGGAGAGTGTTGGCATGTACGGACTCTGTGGATGTACAGCAAAGAACAAAATGAGGTGCGATTCAAGGTGGGAAATAACCGCTTCAGGTAGGAAATGAACTAATTTGTGTAAGTATCAAACTGGCATCTGAAGTAGTTCCCCCCAGAATGTCATTCCTTTAGAGGGGGACTAGGGACCCTTAGATCTGTGTGCACATAAGGTATTTGCTAAACCGCTGCTTGTTCAGAATTACTGGTTCAGAATTCCACTAATTGTTAAGAGGTGTGAGAGAGTATTTCAGAGGCCCTCAACTCAGGAAGTCCTTTCGCACCTACCCGAGGCCCAGGAAGCTCGCTGTCCTTGCTCACTAGCATGGCTCCTGGAGCGGGAACTAGCACTGGCCTAGCCTGCTGGGTACACGCTGTCCCCCTGCTCTGCTGGCCTGCATCTGTTCAGGCAGATACTGAGACAAGGAGGAGATGCTCTCTCCCCTTCGCCGAGCTTGTTTATGCTTTAACATGTCTCTCCTCTCAGAGGACTGGTCCTCTTCCTTCTTCCCGAGCGCCTCCTTCCAATTCTGGAGAAAACAAGTGGACTATTCATGTAAAAAGAGAAAGAGTGAGCAGGGAGGGGGGAGATGCCACCGACATACTCCATTGAAAGCCACTGGCTGTTCATTTACATTCACACTTTTAAAAAATGTTAACTAATGATGTAAATGGTTTGCCAAAGGTCCTGGCAGGTCAGTTGTAGAAGTGTCATTTCTGCCTAATTAGGGCTCTTGTGGCTGCCCGGGGCCTCCCAGTGCAACTGGTGACAAGCCGAGAGCTGACAGCTTCAATTGGTGCCAATAGGAAGGTTGGGCCGGTCATGTTTTCCAACTCAGCCAGGTGTTTGCTGAATGGGGGAGGGGGCCTGGTGAGATCTGAGCGCTTCTATGATCCTTTTTCTTTCATGGCTCCCTCCCAAGTCCTTCCCCTTTGCCTGTCTTGTCTTGTGTCAAGGTCAAGAATGGGCTTTGCTAAATCAGCAATTTGGGTTATCTCTGGGAGGTCATTAGCAATCTCCAGCCCAGACATTTCAAGTGGTCTCGGACCCCAGATGCTAGATCTTTTTATTTCTCCTTAAAAATCAGAGGGTAGGAAAATAAAACTTTTAGGTGAAAAACAATAGTAGGAAGAAAACAAAACAAAACAAAACAAAAGAACCAGAAAGCTCTGCATAGCCATCACAGCATTAAACTGAAGACATTCATAATGATAAAATTGCTTGAGGGGAAAACAGCTAAAGCATCCTGATCAGCGCCTTAAATATTTCATGGAAGTAAACACAATAGTGAAAAGAAATCCTAACAAGTTCAATTGGATATAGAGTACCTGGCATGTAGTAGGTGTTCAATAAATGATTTATGGTTTGATTTGATTTTCCAGGAGAAAAATCATTGTGTGAGAAACAAAGAGTGATTGATAAGAGATCCTGCTATTTCTCATGCTTACTTTCATTGTTTCTATACCACTCTCTGAATTTCTCAGTTGACCACAAAATACATGCTCAGTTGGAGTACCGCATGATCGGGTGATACGGTTATCTTATTTTTTTCTTTTTTTTTTTTATTTAAACAACTTAAGCAGAATACCTGCTGGTACTCAAGAGCCCCAGGCTGCAGCAACTGTGACACAGAGGCAGTCCTGCGGTGATGATACGACATCAGTGTCTAGAATTTGGATTTGACACCCTGACAGATCCGCTGGGATGACGGCACTCCCGCTTTGTGCCTGAATTAAACCTCCCAGCCCTCCCGCAAGCACCTGCACGTGCGTGCAGGGACTGAGCCTGTTCGTGGGCCTGGTGGACGAGGAATGATGAGATTAATACACGGGCTTTTGGGGGCAGTGCCTTGTTAAAGGGGGAAAGTGAACTGAAGAAAGCCATGTTTGTTTTATGAAAATCCAGACCCAGAGATTACAGTTCTGAGAAGGAGGAGGGAGACTCAGGTGATGGGTATCTAAAACTTTAAGTTTTCAGCTTCCTTTTTTCACGTGGCAATGCCTTTTGCATCTGCTGCCTCTGTGTTGTCTAACACAGGAGTGTGAAACTAGGGGCCAGAAAAACAGACTGTCTGTTGATTTTATCCAAGGACTGTTGGGATGGTGAAATGAGACAGTGTACGTAAGCACATCTAGAACAGAGGATACCTGGCATGTATCAGGTGCCGGAGAACAGTGAGTTCTCTCCCTGATGTCCCAGGTCCCTCATGGTTGGAGACGCTGTGCTGTTCTGTGGTGTCAAGTTATTTTCTCAATACCCAGGACATATTTGAACAAAGAGAATTAATAGAATCGATTAATAGGCTGACCTCGTGAATGATGAGTGAGCAAATGAATCTGGACATTTTCAAACAGTTTCACTGCCTGTCTCACACTTTCCCTCCAGGGACCACCTTTGTCACTAAATTCCCTTAAAAGACCCACTTTGCATTTTTGTCCATCCGTTTCATGCCGCAGCACGTGCTCTCTTACCTCTGGTGACTTCCTTTGTTTACTCATACTGTTTTCATCCTGGAATGTGTTTCACTTCTAGTCCCAGTACTAACCCCTTTCTGGGCTCTGCCTCCTACCTCTGCCTCCATTTGGAGCCCTGATCCTCAAGGCTGCCACTGCTGGATGTGTACTTGGAGGGCAAATGTTTGCTGTCTGGCTCTTATGAGTGCTAAGAAGTGGCCACTTAAGACTCTCCTCGTAGGGGGGGAGATGAGCATTTAAAACTCATTCTGTAAGTGGTAAAGAAAACCTTCTGCAGCAACTAAACCAGCATGGAAAATATACCAATTAGTTTCTAAAACCATAGCAGACAAGTAAACAAAAAACTTCTGAGGGCTTGTGAACAGAGGAAAGAACATGTGAATTACAGCAGGTCCTCTGTGGCAATAAAATCCTCTGATTGTATGCGTGATAACTGACCGTCATGCTGGTGACCCTGGAAAGGTAAAATTATGTTCAGCTAGATGTTACCTAAATCTTTCTGAAAGGCAAATCTGATTTTGTTTTTCCTTTGTTTAAGTGGTCCTTTCAGATCTGGCTCTTTCTTCTCTTTGACCTTGAACTGTTACTCTGGTTGTGCTGACCTGCTGGCCATTCTCTAGACATTTCAGGGTGTTTCGTGCCTCAGGGCATTTGAACAAACTCTGTTATCCTTGGAATGCCCATTCTCCTGCCAAATACCTATTCATTATGCCACTTCCCGCACCAAGCTTCTCTTGCCACCCCACCTTCAGTTAGACTGACCTTTCTCTCTTTGTGCCCCGCACAGAACCTTACATTCTCCTCGGTAGTAATGATAGTACAAGTTCCCTTTTATCGAGTGCCACCTGTTTGCCAGTAAGTGTAAGAGCTTTTGCTGTTGTAGGTACTCACTTACCGATGAGGACCCTGAGCTCAAGTTGCATGTTTAAGGTCACACAGCTTGAAAGCGATGGAGCAGGGCCTGAGCCCAGCCGGGGTGACTGGGGCACACGTCCTCACCTCCATCTCAGTCTAGAACCACCAAAGCACGCTGCTTCTCTTATAAGTGGCCGCCATGCTGGTAGATACGGGTGTGTGGTTTTAGCTTGTCTCCCCTCTGGGTTGTGTGGCCCTGGAGGTTGGTGACGCTCTTCGAACACTTTGAGTTCCAGTGCCTAGCGTGAGGCCGGCGCATGGCAGACTCTGAATGTTGGCTGAATTAATAAAATTGAGTGGAATTTGATTTACTACGTATTTGCCTATGTTATACATATCTGTATTCTCTCCCTGCTTCTCCTAGTCTCTTTACATACGTGCATATTACACATGTATGTATGCATGCATTTATGTACACACCCATATGGTTATATGCCCACATATACATATATGAACAGGTAGATATATATACATGAATTAACAGACATATATATGTATCTGAAGAGAGTAAGGAAGGCGGGGGGAGAGTTGGTTGGGGTCTGGAGGAATATATGTGCATCACACAGTCTCTGACTTTGAATGGTGAGTTTGGATTCTGCATTAATCTCGCTTCCTTGTAGCCTGGATGAGACCCATGACCTTGGCCTAGATAATCCTATAGACCGACCTCGAAGGTCTCACAGTTCTGCACTGGGTGTCACTACATTTGAGTCAGAATGGTCACTACAGGAGGAGGACGCCCAGGGAGAGTAGCAGTTTTGAGTTTTTCCCTTTGCATCATGTCTCAGGTGTAGAGAGAGACAAGTCCCACTTTGTCCAAACATTTTTCCTCACCGTTCAGTCGTCTTGATCCTGAACCTGTTAGTGATGATGAAGGTGGGTTTCCTTCTCTGCCACAAGCGCCCAGCACGCCCTCCCGTCCTGTAAGGTGCTGTGCGTCATGTGCAGGACCAGACTGACTAAGCGACCCAGCATGGGGACCAAAAGGCTTCACCAGAGCAGAGAGGCACCTGTGAGATCTGGAGAGTTGGGTGAAGGTTCGATAACAGCTGATCCAAGGGCAAAAGTCTCTCTCATTTACCCTTTGGATTCTGGGCTCATGCCATTGATTACAAGGGAGAAAGTATGTGGGTCATTTATAGACAAGTGTCCACTTGACACTGAGTGCACCACATTTATTTTATCCTTCATGAGCATGAAATCCCTGTTTTAAAATCAGGTTCTAAAACTTTACAAGCTGTCAGGTTCTTATTGATTTCTCTGAAGTATTTCAGTGGCTGTGGGTGAGCCTTCCCGTGCCAGCCCCTGCCTCCAGCCTGTTGACCCTCCTGCCGCTGACCTGTCATGCCCCCGTGCCTCTCCCTCTGCCCCCCTTCTAGAACCTTCCTCTTGGCCTTGCAAGAGCACATTCATTCTTTAAAAACTGTTTAGTTGTGATCTGACCCTCTCCTGCTTTGCTGTGGCATTGATGGGCTTACTACCCTTCCATGCTTGTCTCTTAAAAGGCAAAAACAAACAAACAAAAAAAAAAGGTGTGCAGATTTGGATGGAAACATGGTAAAAATTAAGAATGTTTCTCACACGTTTTCACTACGGTATTCCAAATTACAGAGCTGAATCAGCTGGTGCTTCTGGGAGAATGGACTGTCTCTGAAGTTTTCTATTTTATT